AGGTTTTTTAACATTTACGTTAGTAGAAGAGATGGCTGGGCACACGGGGATGGGGGGTTGGTTCCGAGGCAGAGGACAGATTATTGGCCCTCACCTGTATCATTTGCATCAATTGTATCACTATCCACCACAGAGGCTTGCAGGGCCTCTTTGTCAAACCCCTCAAAGTCCATATCCTCACTATCAGTGACTTGGGCTGGCTGTGGTGGGTGGCGGGTGAAGAACTCGGTAATGTTTTGTTGACTGGGCGACCTAGTGTGCGCCCTGCCCACGCCGCTTCCCGCGTAAATGATGGAATGTACCGTGTAACTAATAATTGCCGGTCTGGCCAGGTGCCGCGTAAATGACCAAACGCGTAAAGGAAATTCACGTAAATCCAGACTATACTGTACTGTATTAAATGAAATGAAGTTTGTGCCCCTGTCCAATGTATAAAAATAGTTTCATTAGTAAAAGTAGTAATGATTACTTTTCCATTTATGTTTGCACTGACTAAATTACAGGTATCTGCCATCTGTAAATGTAGAATTACTGTACAGTATCTGTCATTTGTAAATAAGTAAATGCCTTTCATCTATACCTCATTATACATTACCTTCCTATGTTTTTTTCACTTATATACTGTTTATGAATTAGAGAAAAACCTTAATTTTTCAAAAAGTAAAAAATAATAAAAAAATTAAATAAAAAATCAAGAAACAGCTGTAGACTATTTTGGGTAGCCTTAGAATGCCAAGTAATTGCCAAACTTCTTTGCTGCATCCCCTCACCAGTGTTAGTTTACACATCACTAACACATTTGTTTCAACTCATCTGTTTACAGTGAATGAACTTTACCAAAACCCTGCAAAATGCATAACAAGTAATATTTGTGCCTCTGGTAAAACAATAAAACAAGTAAAAGTATTAATCTAGAGGTTAAATTAGATGTTTTAAGGCATTTTAAAGTTGTTGACATCACCAGAATATAGGTCACAGCTCTACAATTAATAACCAATGACATTAACTGCTACAAAGAACTGTATAAACAGAAGAAGAAAGCTGTGCAGTTGTCTTTGGACCAATATTTTAAATGTTTATCTATAGGTGAAGAGGCAGGCAACCTTGCTGCTTTGTCTCAATAACTCCACCTTTCCCTGGCCCAGTTGGCCTCTATACAAAGTTTTCTTTCAAATCCGGTAAATGTTATCTTATTGACATTTATTGTATATATAAATATTCATTTTAACATATCATAATCTAATTTAGCTATCTGATGAAAATTATGACCAAAAGAGTCCACCAGGAATGTAATCCTTATTAATATCATTAGGTGTATAGTTAACTTGTGTTCACTATATTTGATTTGCTGTACAGTATGTTGAAACTTCAAGAATGCACATCAAACATATAGCAAGGGATGCCTGTATGATTAATTATGTCACAAGTAAATAAGAAATTACCTGTTATCTATAACTAGGAAATTATATTTTACAGTATCTGTGCATGAGTGTCATGCATAAATAAGGATTATATACTGTATATATATTTTATTGTTTTTATCTGTAAATTGGGAATTATGTCCTACAAATGAAAGTAATTTAAAAAATTCTAGATGATATCAATGTATGATTTACTACAGCTAGAGAGAATTACTGTACATATTTTCAAAACACCAATTTATTCCTTCCAGATTCTTTCTTCTATTGCTGTTTAAAACTCAGGATTTTTCATTAACATCTATTTTTTCTTTTAAAATTCCTGACCTAAAGAAAATTCTTTAATCTAAAAACAAAACCCTTGCCTAACCTATCTTCACCAAACCAAACATTTCCTAACATTACATTATATCTAACCTTCCCTAACCTTACTAAACCCTCCCAAACCTCACTAAAGTTTCCCTCACCTCATCAAGCCTTCCCTAAACTTACATTAACGGACCTGCCTGAACCTAATCAAACCTTCCTTAAATAAATGAAGCCATAGAGCTGTTGTGTGCTGTATAAAAAAATTAAGTGGTCCCAACATTTTATTTTCTCAAATACTGTTTCTCAACAATAATTTGCACAACTTAGAGATTTTGTATCAACATTTTCTTAACCCTCTCACATCATCTCATTCATTCCCTCGGTTAAAAAAATTTACACATTTCCTGGCAAGGTAGTTATTCAATAACTAATTGTATTCGGCTGTGCTCCCTATATTCATAGCAAATTTACAATGTATGAATCCCCTACAACATATTATACATGTACAGTAAGATCTTGTATTTCGCGAGTAATATAGACTGGAAAAATTGCGCCAAATGCAAATACATAAACTAATGGAAAAAATAACAATACAGACTGGCCACTCTACATCAACCTCTGATTTTCCCATTTATAACCTCCAAATGATACAAATTCTGCCGTTAATGACCTGATTGTGCTTTCTGGAAACTAGTTTTTAGACCTTCCTCAAGTAATTTAATCACATGCTGCTTATCCTGCATCGAGTACTTGGCAAACTTAACTCCCTTATGATAGTCCCCCTTTTCCTTATTTGGCCGCTTAGGTGGGTCTGTCCCACCCCCACCAGCACGACCCCCAGTAGAGGCAGAGGCCATTATCTTGACTAGACAGGTGGTAGCACCACCCAAAAAATCACACAATAACAGCCCGGGCGGTCGCTAGGATGGCGCGGACTACAACACGATAGTTGCGTTCTTGTAAACCTCTTTTAAGTTCACCACCGGCAATTCGATCACCAGAACGCTTCTTGGAAACATTCTTTTTACCTTGTCTTTCTATATTCATCGCTAACACAGAATTGGAGAAAATAGCGAAAATCACAGAGTAATTGACAGAAGCAGCGCAATTCAACTGATCACGTGATGTAAACAGAGAGCACTGGTGTAAACCGTTATTAGTCCTCACTGCGAAACATTCTTTTTACTTATTCTTTTCATACAGTATTTATGGGTGAGAGCTAAATTTGCAAAAAAAAAAAAAAATTTACAGAGTACCTCTCAAAACAACACTTCACAAACAAAAGACACAAATCAATTGAACATGCGATGGTGAACATAAACTGTAAACATTGTATAGCCCCGCGCCACGCTTAAAATGTTGAGGATGGAATCGCGCTCTACCCAACATTCGCATGCAAAAGTTTGCGTTTTACAAAAAACTTTCCCCTATTCATCAATCGCGTTGCAACCAATTCGCGTTGACAAAACATGCGTTGTAGCAGAAATGACTAACTGGTATGAGGGCTGTGATGTCATTCAAGACGGTGGCCAGCATTCAGCTTGCTGGATCTCACGAAATTCACGATATTTTATGGCAAATATAAGACTTGGTTACATTAGGTAGTGCTCGCAAAATTCAAAAACGCAAAATATGAGATCTTACTGTATATAAAGATGATATTTACTGAAGGAAAGTTGGATGGGTCTGTTACTTTCTAACATTCCTCTACCTTTATAGTTTAGTGTACCCATTCAGTATACAGAGATGAAAAATAAAGAAAACAAAGATGAGGCCTATGAGGTTATTCTAGATTATGACAGAATATACTATGGTCCCTCAGTTAAAGAGCACAATTCGTTCCACAGAGTCGTTCGTTAACCGAAAATTTTTAACTGAATCTATTATTTTAATGGGATATTGGGTAATTGGTTCCAACTGACAGAAAAAGTACATACAAAGTATAAACAAAATACAGTACAGTACACTTACTTTGAGGTGTGTATGTAGAAGGTTCCTGGTTGATGATGATGATGGGAATTAGAAGTAGGGGGTGGAGGAGGAGAAAGGAGAAGAGAAGGAAGTGGGGATGGAGGAGGACTAGGAGAAAGGAGAAGAGAAGGAAGTGGGGACGGAGGAGAAATCGCCTTTCTTTGGACCCATGCTTGATGCAGTAATTTCACGAATAAAATTTTAAGTTCACTAGCTGTAATTAAAGATTATTTTATTTAAATTAACACTGCACTGCACTAAATATTATCAATATGTTAAGTAAATTTCAGAATGACCAATAATTTTAATGTAAAAACGTAAAAATACTCTGTATTCAAGAGAGCGACAAACACCATGTTTCCTCCACTGTAAACAAAGTTAAACTGACGCTTTGGCGGATGAGTCAAACGGCTGATGGGCGCACAAAAAACTAGTTCTCTGTGCTGCATATATTATTATCAACATGTTAACTAAATTTTAAAATGACTAATAATTTTATTATAAAAAATGCAAAAATATTAAAGAGCACAACCATCTTGATATTTACTCCACTGGAAACAAATGTAAACATAGAACCGACTTCTGTACTGGACTAGTCGATCAGCTGATTCTCACAACAAAACGTATTTGTCGTAAGTAATTCATTAATCAAAGTTTTGTTCATTAACTGAATTGAAGATCCTTATGGGAGCTAATTCATAAACCGAAATTTCATTAATTGAACCGTTCGTTAACCGAGGGACCACTATACTGTAATTAGAGAGTTGTGGAGAACTACCAGCTAAAAACACCTCTCACTCCACAGAGTTAATACCTTAATCTACACATTATGTAAACGAATATGAAGAAGCAACAAAGAAAACCTAGTAACTTTTTTTTTTTACATGAAAGAGTTAAAATAATATAAAACTAGAAAAACAAATCACCCAGTTAAGCGATTCAATTAATGCTACCCATTACAACCTTCATGAGTATGGCACTGGACTGTACACATCAGTAAAATATACTCAGTATAGTAATATCTCCATTAGCCAGAATCCCTCAAACCCGGAACTATCTGATAGCCGGAATTGAAATTTTCTCTGAAAATTGTTCCCAAAGCCAGAATTTTCCGGAAAATTCAGGCTTTGGGAACGATTTTCCGAGGGGCACATTTTTCCGGAAAATTCCGAGAAAATTTTCCCGAAACCCACAAAATTTCGGGGATGGGGGATATTTTTCTGGGTTCGAGAGATGATGTAATGGGTAATTTCTGGATCACGCGAGAACATTTTTCCGTTACCCAGAAAATTCCGGGGATGAGGGATTATTTTTCCCAGCTTTGAGAGAGTCGTCTCGTTACCCGGAAATCTCTCATTCCCGGAAGTACTCTGCAGCAATTGTTCCGGCTAACGGAGATAACATACGTGAAGACACACAACTCGGGAAAAATAAATAATTTAATAATATTAAGCAGTAGGTTTTTTTTGGGGATTCCGAAAATATTAGGTCTAAGGGCCAATTGCAAGAACAGTCATTGGGTGTACGACGCCGTTTACGATGACCTTCTTGTCCTGATCTTGTTTCAGGAATACCACCCTTTTGAAGCTCTGGAGAGATCTCGAAGCTTCGATATGTTGAGTACTATTAGCTAATAATTCCCACCAGGAAACTTGTTTCGAGACTCCTCCAAAGCTTCGAAAAGTGCAGAATTCCATGTGTTAAGCGATATTGCTGAAAAAGACCAGGGCAAGAAGGTCATCATAAATGGCGTCGTACACCCCATAACCGTTCTTGCAATTGGCCCTAAAAGCCATTACCAAACCCTCAAGCCCCTATGACAATAACCAAGACATAATAATAAGTAATATACTCTTAAATTTCTGATCTGCATTAGCTATGGGGAGCAACGTTCAGGTGGTTACACCACTCGCCTCCTATCCTAAGGGTCATTGGTTCATGGCTGCAGAGCCCAGACTGCCCATTTGTAAATAGATACCTAACCTTACAGTAAGTTAGGAAAGTGAAGGCATTTGAGGGCAATAACAGCCACAATGTGTCCTTGAGTACTGAAGGCTTAGTATGCAAGGTGCTACATCTGCACTACCCCTAGCAGGCTGTCAGGTGTATGGAACCTTCTTACACAAAAGCTATAATTATTCTTACCCACATATATTTTGAATCTATAAAAAAGAGAAACTGGCCTCAGTTTACTATTTTTGTTAAGGCCTTGTTGAGGGACTATTTGGTTAAACATAACAGTTAAAGATTATGGCAATCCTTTTCATTCATGCATGCTTCATTCCACAATTAACTCAGGGCAGTTACTGTGAATTCTTAACAATCATCAATTAGTACAACTCTAAAAGTAGTACTAAAAACCAATAGTGTGGAAATTTATTAGTTGGATAAGTAAGAGTGTAATCACTTGCTGTTCCAGCATTTTCTGTGACTTTCTACATTTGCCTTGCACCATTCTCCCCCATCAATCATTAATTTTCTTTTAGGTTTGGGATTCCTTTAATCCAGTCCACATAAAAGTGAAAGGAAAAAAGATGATGACATATAGATGAACAGGACGAGTTTTGATACAAATAATGCAATTTCCCTCAGTTTTCAAATAAAAGGAGCAAATATATAGTTGTCATTATAGGAAGGTAGAAAATTGTGACTAGTGGAGACACCTGGCATCTCCTTAAGGTAGTAGGTATCATTTTTCAGGAACGAATCACTCCGACCCAACAAATCGATGTAATTCATTCATGAAAAAATATCACCTACCACCTTGATGAGATGCCCTATGTCTCCATTAGCCACAAATTTTCTCCCTTCCTATGATGCCAAATGTACATGAGCTGAAAGAGGTCTATACAGGAGAACAAGGAAAATGGGAAACAGTTACTAGTCAAATGGGCTTCAATCTTAAGAGGATTCAACCTAACCAGATCATTAGGTCCATTTGACCAGTTGCTAAGTATTATGAAATTTTTAAGACTGTATAACAAGAACACTAAAAACAACTGGAATAAGAATGTACCTCAGCACAATCAATAACCTCACTGAGGAAAGAAACCACTGTAGAAACATCACTCACTGTGATAACACTTGAGATAGTGCTTACTTGAGCAGCTGATACAAGCTGATATAATTTCTTTTTATGTGTACAGTATATAAACAAGCCCACACATATTTATGCATATACGAGTACAAACAAACATGATTGTGACCCTAAAATTATCTGTTATTTGCTTTATTCCTTATAAAATAAAAAGGAAGTTCCCAACAATTTAAAGCAAAATTAACTTTTTTGGCACCTTTACTATACATGATTTTCATGTATTAATCTTCAGTGGGTCTGTGTCACAATTATACATTGGGGTGAGGAGGGCTGAGTCTGAGTGATTGAGGACATGTGGAGCCTCGTTGAACTCATCTAATTCATTGGAGAGGTCAGCCTCATAGGCCAGGAGGAGGTACTGCTCAGACCTCTCAGGCCACAGCATGTAGGTCATAAAAGAGTGGGCCAGCAAGTCAGCTGAGTATGTGAAACCTGTAAAACAGAAGACAGTCAATAATAAGATAAAACTTTCAGTATGAAGAGCGTCACAACAATTCATCCTATCTTCAAGTATGAAGAGAGTCACAACAATTCATCCTATCTTCAAGTATGAAGAGAGTCACAACAATTCATCCTATCTTCAAGTATGAAGAGAGTCACAACAATTCATCCTATCTTCAAGTATGAAGAGAGTCACAGCAATTCATCCTATCTTCAAGTATGAAGTGACATAAAAATTCATCCTATCTTCAAGTATGAAGAGCATCATAACAATTCATCCTTCTTCAAGTATGAAGTGACATAAAAATTCATCCTATCTTCAAGTACGAAGTGTCACAACAATTCTTCCTATCTTCTATCTTCAAGTATGAAGTGGCACAACAATTCATCCTAATTTTCAAGTATGAAGAGTGCAACAATTCATCCAAATCTTCAAGTATGAAGTGAAACAACAATTCATCCTAATCTATCTGTTATCTTTATAAGTACCTCTTCCACTTCCATGTGAGGTGAATCAAAAGGTATGGAAACCTCAAATAGAGGACAGAAGTGAGTGTGGAGGGTGGGGTATAAAATATATAGAAAGCAACATAAGAAAAACACAAGAACTCATAATCTATTCTAAATGCTGATGGGTATCAACTGAATGTTTACATTTCCACAAATCAGAGCATGAGCAGCACAGGCATAAGCTAATGGGGTGCTGATCATATTTAAGCATTTGTGCCTCAATTTAGTAAACCAATCTTCGTAATGTGACTATATTGGAGCTACAGTCAAGAGAAAGTACATTAGTACAGTACTGAAATACCCATCAAGGAGGGGATAAAAGAGGTTATTATCAATAAAATTACTCCTCACTAAAGCTATTGTTTCTCATCACTGGCTTAATTATAATAAACTCACCACATTGTAAAGCTATTCTTTCGCATCATTAGTTTATTATCAATCAATCAGAGCACCATCCTCTTTCTGAGGGTTGGTGACCACAGTCCTCCTCTCTAAACATTTTCAAGCTGTTTTTACCAAAGGTTTTGTATCTCTCTGGGGACCCAGTTTTTAATTTAATTCATTCATCCAAGTCTCTGCTTTCCCCTGGGCCTCCTACACTCAACTTTGCCCATTAATATTTCTGTTATTATTCCCTCATCCCTAATCATATGACCAAAGTCTCTGAAAAATGAGATTGGTCTATTATATTAAGTGAGAAACCAGTAAAAAAAATAAAATAAAAAAATTATGAGTAAATATTTAGGCATAGAGAAGATAAAAGTACATCAACTACAAGCTGCCAACTTTCATCTGTCTCTGGATAGCAACCATGACACTATGGACAACTGAACTTTATCACATGCAAAAAAAAGTATACCAAAAACTAATATAAATTTAAAAGGGTAATGCATAGTATTCCAGGTATAAAAATATTCAAAGAGAAGAAAAAGATCATTAGCTAGTGGTTTATCCAAGTCAGGTTTACATTTAAACTGTGTTTGTTACTACAGTAAAAGTCCAAAAATCCGGATGCCATAAATCCGGACCACCCGAGAATCCGGACTTTTCGAAAACTCAAACTTTTTTTTTTAGCTGGCTTTTGTGTGTGTGTGTGCATGCGTGAGCGCCACAGCTGCACAGCGACAACAAGCGACCACGCGGTCGCCACTTTAAAACGAGCAATCAAACTGTGACAACGTATGTAATTTTGAGTCTTATTCTTTCCATTTACAGAGCCCATAATAATGGCTCCTAAAGTAGATAAACTTCGTTGTGTGAAGAGAAAGAAGAACACGTTGAAATTGAGTGACAAACTTTAAATAATTAAAATAGAACGTGGTGTGAGCAATACTGTTCTAATGGAAACATACAACATTGGAAAATTTCAGATTCAGATTTGCCCCCGAGGGGGCTAGTTTATTGGGCACACCCTTACATCCTGTGCAAGGTGAAGCGCAGAAGCGTTTACAGCGCCCATCTGGGAAGTATGCAAAGTTCATACTTGCCTTTATGACTCGTACATTAAGGGCGTAAAAGCCTGAAGGGTCATAGGTTTTGTCAAGTTACATAAAGTGAGAGAATGATGAGTGTGTGGGGGTAAAGTTCCTGGTACATTTTATCTGTTTATAGCAAAGCGTGGCAGGTCCCTAATAATGTCAAGTGCCAGGCCTGTGACTAGGAGGAGGGATATCTGGTCAGGGAGGGTAGAGGTGTTGGTAACAGCTGGGGACCTGTAGGAGGAGGTCATAGGGCAAGTGAGGATGTAGTGAGAGTCGGGTTGGCCACAAAGTTTACAAACAGTGCGGCCAGGCTCAGGGTTGCCAATGTACTCCCATAGGTACCTGTACCCAAGGCGCAGTCTCATGTATATAATCTGTTGAGATCGAGTCAGGGATTGATACTGTTTGTAGTGGCGGTTGACATTGGAAAGTCTACAATTTATGATATAAAAAAGGCAAAGAATAAAATTCTAGAATTCACAGCTTTTTCTTTAAAACTGCTCGTTTTGATAAATGAAGCATGCTATATTTGCTAATGAATAAACTATCAAAATGTATCTGTTCATCTCTTCTTTATTCCTCCTTAAATTTGAATTTTAAAAGTACTGCCTGAGAATCCGGAAAATCCAAAAATCCGGACCGACCCAATCCCCAAGCAGTCCGGATTTTTGGACTTCTACTGTATGACATATTTGACTGTTTCATTAGTTAGACCTGAGCAGGGCTCAAGTCCATAGTGAGATTCCTAAAGTGGCAGATAAGGCAAAACAACCAAGAAAAGACAAAGATAATAAGAAGAAACAGGACCTGGTTGGAAAAAATGGATTAAACATCCATACAGAAGCTTTTAAAGTATGTTTTTTTACAGGATGTAAACAACTAAGTGCTTACCCAGCTCAACCAAAGATGCACTACAATACTGTAATAAGTGAGGAATCTCTGCATCTTTGAAGGGCTGTGGCCAAGCTGACAGATGTATACTCAGTTGCACTGTATCAATTTTTTTTCTATATGTATTGATTTTTGAAATAAAGTACAGCACCAGTTAAACAAGGAGCTCTAGGGTATTAACCCACAGACTTGATGAAGCTGTACATAAATCTGACGAGCAACTCCATCATGTTACAGATTCAATTTTGAATTGGGGAATCCAAGTGAGTCACTGGTTAAATAAAAAAAATTTAGAGAATGAGAAGACCCAATGGTTTTACCATAATTTTGATCAAGAACAAAGGGTTTGGACAGAAAGCCACAGATCATGCAAAAAATAAATTTTAATGGGCAAGGCAACAGAAACGTAAAGATTGCTGCTAGTATTCTTGAAGGTCACACTGCTTGAGTGGGTTGTTTAAGCATAAAATAATAATGTATAATATGCTATAAATACCTCTTAAGTGGCAGGCAAGAATTTCAGGGGTACAGGAGTACATCCTTTTTTGAAAAGTACTTAACTTGTATACACTACATTTCACTAGAGACTGAGAAACTTTGGAACCAAACTCATTCTCCATTGCAGACCTATTTGTAATATAATACATTTATTGCCCCAAGCAACCAATCTGTATATCTGTACTGTCATGGTTGCCAAGGAGAGATAAAAGTGGGAGAAGCTTAGTCAACCAGGCAGCCTCTAAATCTACACATCACTTGTCATCCACTTACTTAACAATAATTTATATCTCCACAGAGGAGAGATTTGGAGGGCAATGAGTGCCACCACAGGCAGGTAAATAAACCAGACCAGGGAGGCAGCACCAAAGTGCAGGAAGAAGTGTAGCTTGTTGGTGTTATGCTCATACATCATAGTGTTACGCAGCTCAAACAGGAACCACACCATGATGAGCACTCGCAGTGCCAGGGTCAGCCACCCTGGCCACGTCTGATACTCGTCAATATCTTCTATAACATCAACCTCCATCTGTTGCGAATTACAAAAATTACATAGCAAGTGTGAAAAATGTATACAGACAATAACCATTATACGATGAGGTTAGGGGGCCTCAAAAAGCCATCCATAAGAGATTGATCACATATCGATATTAATGCCGTAACTGTTTGTGAAAAATATGCTACGTTCCTGAGCCCCTAAAGAGCCAAAGCCAAAACAAGTTTTATATCCAGCTGCTATAATAATCACCTTTTTCTTTTAGCTGTTACATGCACACACAATCTTTCATACAGAATGTGCAAAAAAACGAGGGTCAGGTGTAAAGTAGAACCTCGATAAATCGAACTAATTGGGGCAAACCCGAGTGAAAAATTTGAAAGTTTGAAGAAAAGCGAATATATGGGGGGGTTGGAGATAACACTGCTTATGTGAACAGTTTAAAGAAAATCAGTTGTTATGTTGTTACTGCACTTCAACAACTAAGGTTTTTAAGTGTATAACAAGGTTATTATAAAAATGAGTTATATCAACAATAACAAAAATATGAAACAGAACTCTCTGGATTGAAAACCACAATTAAGTCTGGTTGTCAACAATTGTTTTCACGAAGATGATTGTTATTTATTGTAAAGTGTTATATGGAAATAACCACTGAATTTGTCTTATGAATGAAGAAAAAACTGTATACTTTATGGCACAGTACTATAAAGATAAAAATAAGAACAAATAAGTGTTGGAGTATATTGTATGTGGAAGACAAGTGTTTATCTGGGGGCAGCTGGCAGAGGGGAGGGGAGGGGGTGGGGGTAGCATGGGTGGGTTGCTCCCTCCCCATCTCTCCCCCAAGATTTCTTTAACACCTCTTTATGCATTTTCACCATAATTCTCATGTAATTTTGGTTCATTTGGTGACAGGTTGATAAAATATTATCCTAAAAGAATCAGTTTTCTTGAAAAAAGAATCCTACACAGAACACCACGAGTCATTTGTTTACAAAGAGCAAACAGCTGATTGGCTTACCACAATGTCTGTGTCAAACACTTACCAGTAATAAATTAGTACAGTACAGCCGTGTATTTATCATCACTTAAAGAATGCTATTGTAGTGTATTTATCATCACTTACTAAGTAATATTGTATTGTACAGTATTTTGTATCTGCATATACCCTGGTTTATACATTAATCATTATATAACACTCAATGGTAGTAAATAATGTCGTTAGGAAGGTATCCCCATATCAAATATTGTACAGTGTGTTATTGTGACCCCCTGTCATAAGCTGGTCTGCTGAAAGCTCTCACAAGAATGCTTCTTGAGTAAATAACTTTGATACAGCTTATCCCTTTATTTTCAAGTCATATTACAAATTACATACAGTACTGTATTGTATTTTTTTCTCTATTACTGAAGATATTATTAACCATGATGAACCATAAACCATAAGAGGCCAATCATATGAGAATATAATAGATTCAATAAATAAATGAACCTGACAAATGTGACAACATCTAATCAGCCCCAGTCTGCTTACATAATCAAGTGTCTTAGTTCTCAGTTGGCCTATAGCAAATCTCATTAGTCCACCATACAGCATTTGGGAAGTGTAGCTCTTTTCCTAAGATTTTTTTATTACTCTTCCCCAATTCTTAAAACAAGTATATATATATATATATATATATATATATATATATATATATATATATATATATATATATATATATATATATATATATATATATATATATATATATATATATATATATATATATATATATATATATATATATATATATATATATATATATATATATATATATATATATATATATATATATATATATATATATATATATATATATATATATATATATATATATATATATATATTATTTCTGGTGACCAGAGCACCTCAGAGTCCGAAAAAAGTAAATTCCAAAAATATCTCCATTAGCCGGAATCTCTCAAATCCGGAACTCCGATAGCTGGAATTGAAATTTCTCGAAAAATTATTACCAAAGCCTGAATTTTCCAGAAAATTCCGGCCTTGGGAACGATTTTCCAAGGGGCACATTTTCTTGAAAATTCTGAGAAAATTTTCCCAGTACAGCTCCTCCCCTACTTACGACAGGGTTAGGGACCCAAATCCAGGTCGTAAGTCGAAAATGCTTAAATAATACATAAATAAATCTAAAATGGGTGTCTCGTTTTCTTCTCAGCACCACAAAACTCTCACTTTTAAGCTTGCCAGCCATTTTAAAGTGAATTACAAACGAAAATTTTGTCAGTACACAGCGCAATCACTGACGTTGGGACTCGAAAATACGTAATTTGACAAAATTTTGGTACGACTGAGGCGGTCGTATGTCCGGGTGGTCTAAGTCGAGTAGGTTGTAAGTCGGGGAGGAGTTGTACAGTAATCCCGTGTTTTTCGCTGGGTTTTTTATCGCAGTTTAAACATTCGCATTTTTTTACTCAAAAATTATATACAGTATAAATAAAGTATCCTTTAAAAACAAAATTTTTAATTTTGCGCCATTTTCGATACTCCCGTGTGGTGCGGCAAACAGACACCACCCTTTCCCGCCTCAGACACCCGCTGCTCTGAGAAGCCTCAGTCCACACGTGCCAACCATTCTGTCAACGCTACTGTGATTACCTCTTCTGTTTGTCCTCCCACGTGCATTCCACATGGCTCCGGGATGTAAGCCAGCCTCATCAAAGGCAAATAATATTAGCAAAGACTCTAAAGCAGGGGTTCCCAACCTGTGGGTCACAACCCCCCCAGGAGGTCGCGGAGGGTTGGCTGGGGGGTCGAGAAGCCTTGGGAGAACTTGGTAGCCTTGGGAGAAGAACTTAGTACATAAGCAGGAACATTACCAAAACTTTCATTTCTCTGATATGCCAGGAACCTAGAACACACAACATAATGTTGTGCCGGTGGAGTAGGCTATAGTTTTCACTCACTCTTTTCGATGTATTACGGTTAGGCTATTAGTGTTCGCGGCTGATAGCAGGGGGTCGCGTGTGTTTCGGGGTTTTGAGAAAGGGGTCGCGAGTAAAAAAAGGTAGGGAACCACTACTCTAAAGTGACCAAGAGATCAAGAATAGTGATGACCTTAATGGAAAATGCAGTTTTATTGGACAAGCTCAGAGAAGGTATGAGCTATGGCTCGAGATGTGGTGAAGACTGACAATTCATTTGTGTCTTTTGTCAGAATACAAGTCTTCAAGCGGAGGAAAGTTGGTGGAAGAGGACTGACTGACTGACTGGCGTGACTGCGTGAGGGCGGGCAGATACCGGGACAGCAGGGAGAGGCTGGCAATGCGGGTGTTGCCGACCTCAGCGATATATAAAAAAATTTATTTACCTGCAACTAAAAATTTTTGTATATAACTGAGTTTACGTTTTTCCATTATTATACTACAATATGATTAGTTTCAAATAATGATGTTAGTAAATGCCGGTACAGTGCATCAGTGATCAGTGTGACCACTGGGCCGTGAGTGGAGAGCATGGCGTGGTTAAGTGCATGACCTACCTGAGCTGTTTGGTGGCCACAAGTACAGTGATTCCTAAGAGCATTCGCAGTTTTGGCTTTTCGCGGGGTTTCAGGAACATGATTCCCCCGAAAAACACAGGAATACTGTCCCCAGAAAATTCCAGGGATGAGGGATTTCTATTCCAGGTTTGGGAGATGAAAATCAGGGACATTTTCCGGAAATTCTGAGAAAAATTATCCAGTGCAGTACCTGGAAAATTCCGGGGATGGGGGATATTTTTCCGGCTTTGAGAGATGAAATAATGAATCATTATGGAACTTCCGAGAACAGTTTTCTGTTACCTGGATAATTCCGGGGAAGGGGGATTTTTTTTTCCGGCTTTGAAAGTCGTCTCCTTACCCAGATATCTTTCAGTCCTGGAAGTGCTTTGCACCAATTGTTCCAGCTGACAGAAATATCACTGTATTGAAGAAGTCCAATCCCCCTCTCTCTCTTCTCTCTGTCTCTCTCTCTCTCACACACACACACTTCATAAGTCTTTAGTGAATCACCACTGCAGGAGTTTACGAACTTTTAAGCACTTAAAATGTTCGTAACCCATAAGTGAATCTGGGCCTGGGGCACCAGTTACCCCAGACAGGGCACGGAGTCTAACACTCTCCTCAAGGAGGAAACCTTCACTAGGAGGCTACCAACTTGCCAAATGGATATTTTTGGTTTTATTCCACAAACTGATACAATTGACCTGTGAACAAAAAAAAATTCCAGGTCCATTACAGGTTGGCCTTCCATGGTACAGAGCACGAGGTATTTTGGAAAATTTGCCTGTTTGAACACACCTGGTGAGATCTCACGGGCAAAAGCATCACGGAGACTGCCAGGGCCAGTGGGCCTCCTGCGTCTCTCAGGCTTGCGGATTTGTCAGAACCTAGAGCCATTTTTTTTTTTACCTGATTGGGCTCTAATGTTGCAACTGATGATCTACAGGGTCCAGGGACCAGTGCAGGATCATCATAGGGGATGATCTGGCAAGCTAAAGGAGTTTGATTCTTCCATAAAAATAACTTCACTCTCCCACCCACCACGGAACTCAACAAGGGGAGCTCAATGCCGATGCTCAATGCAGGGTATTATACGCAGGTAACCACCAGGGGGGGGGCAAGATGGCAGCTCCTAGACCATAGGAGTGCCAGGCCCCCTGATACAGTACCCGGTTAACCCTAGCCACATTGTGACCAGCCGATTGACTTGACCGGGCCCAATCAAGCCAACTGTCTAGCTGGAATGGAGGACCAAAGAGGTGTTACTAGCTGCAGGGCACAGCGTACGGGGTTGCTCAACCTCCAGAACTTCCGTCTCCCAGCATTATGGGTCGCTAGGCAAACATGTGGGAGAGTATTCCAGCCCCGCTTGTTTGGGCTGGAGATGATGCTGCTGGTCTGCTCTCAAAACCAGCAGCAGGATAAGAGCCATTTTGTTTGGACCTTCCCCGGTGACCCACCCAGTTAGGGAAATCCTTCCCCTCCCTCAGAGGAGGGAAGGAAGCCCCCCCTCCCCTCCCCCCTCTGGTACAACTCACCAGATCATCAGGACTCACAAGCCCCCCCTCCCCAGGTAAGTTGTAATAATCTGCATTAACATAATTGGTACATATGATTGCCTCATGAAGGACATTGCACGTAGAGTGTTGGCAGTGTACTCTTCCTATTCAAAAGATTCAGTCACTTTCATTTTCATCTCTACCAAAACAGACTTTCCTTGTCTCTTGCCATCAGCACCACCCTTGCTATTTTTTGGTTCCTTTGCAATCATGATGATGAAGGTTAATAAGGACAAATCAAGAAATAATAGAGAATAGTCAGTCATTACTATACGTGTGTGCTCCAGAGGAGAGTCAAAAGCAGGAGGTAGTGAACCATCGGAGGTGGCCTGGTATGATGACGTGTTGACATGTTGCGGTTTGTGTTCAACTGGGAATGTTTTTGTGGGGACTAACTGTATTTACATATGTTATTTGTTATGATTTTACAGGTAGGGTCCTGAGTTACGAACAAATAAATTTATGAACAGGTTTCAGGAATGCTACCCGATTGTTACCCAGGGATCTCTTGTACTGTCTTGCTTGCAATGCACGTAAGTACAGCATGAACTGTCTGGCACCCATGCACAGTTTTGTCATCTACTCCCTGAATTATTAATTTCAATTTGTTTATTTCTATTTAATTCCATGTCCGTAAAACTACCTTCAAACATTTGGCATTTGATGTCATACCAGTAAGTGGTGAATATTTTATCAGGATTTGTTTATTGATAACATGAATGATAGTCAAGATAAGATTATAAGACACTGCTGATACACTGTAATATAATACCTGTATTAAACATGCACAGAAATACTGTACTTCTGTACTGTAATATCAAATATGCAAAGAAGTATAAGTTAGCAGCAATAACAATAATCTTTACAATTTTCTCAATACTGTATATGGTCTCACATGGATAAATTACCATAAAAGGAAAGCAGGGCTACTAATGTGAAGCAAGACCCACGATCATATGTAAAAATCTTTCATCTATTGTGTCATATTGTATAACACAAAATTTTAAAGGCACTTTTTTGACTGTGTGTACAAATGCACATCACTTATTCTGTGTCTGTTGGGTTAAATCTGATTTGTTGTGGAGATCCAAGTCAATGAACTGAGTATTGCAGGATAAACTGCACAAATGCTACTATCAAATTGGATTCCATAGGAACATCTAATGGTTGGAAGGTATCCTAAAAAGAAGAAAGTTGAAGAGTTACTGCTACCAAGTATAAGGACATGTGCTCCCATTTAGTCAAGAGAAGTAAGGTAGGTGTGGGAATATACAGAGGACTAGAGAACTTTGAGGTTAAAGTGGGAGTGAGGCAGGGATGTATGATACCCCACTGTAGCTCAACATATTTATGGATGGAGTGGGAAAGGAAATGGAGGTAAAGAAGACTGAAGCAAGAGTGAAACCGGGCCTGGAAGATAGGCTGTGCGCACTTTCATGGCTATATACAGATGATACAATGCTGTTGTAGAGTGTGTTCAGAAAGTACAAAAGGTGATGAAAAACATAAAGGCTAAGAAGGTAATGGTTTTAGAAAGGAATGAATTTAATATTACAAAGAACAGGAAAACTAGGTGAAATCAATATCAACATTATCACAATGAAGGAGATACTTTAGGGATTAAAAGGTTCAAATATTTGGGAATAATGGAAAGTAAAGAAAGGAATAATGGAGAATGAAATAAAGAGAAAAATGTATTAAAGAGGGGTGATTGGAGAGCTGGGAAGCACCATCATGGGAAGGAATGTAAAGTTGATAGTAAAGAAGGAATTCAGAGATAGTACTGTACTATGATTCCTAACTTGTGGAAGAGGAACACAGACTTGCCATGAAGAATGCTCTAAAACTCTAGCCAAAAAGTTGAGTAACTTAAAAGCTGTACCAGGGGTTACCAGAATCATCATCATCCTCATTCACTGTTTTACAGCCATTTTCACACTTGTGGGGGATAGCAGTGATTACCTGAAAGCATGGTGTCCCAGTTGCCATTAAGCAAATTTAGAACAGAAAAGCCCAAGGGTATAAGCTATGGAGTTGCAGAAGACATAAAAAAGCTCCCTGAGATGGTATGGACAGGTTAGAATACTGGAAACAGTGTTAAAGAGTGTCTAGAGATAATCTAGTAGGTCTATTGGGTAGAGGCCTAGAGGGAGACCTCTTACATCATGTTAGGAAAAGGTGTACCAATGCATTCAGAGAACAGGGGTGGGAGTGAAAAAGAGAAGATAAAGGAGGTACTATAAGGTGGCTTGGAGGATTACTGTTGTGGCCCCCCTATCTCTGACCTTTTAATCCAAAAATCATTAGATGCACCATCTTTAGGTAAAATATTTACCTGTTTTTTTAATTTGCTCCAAAGAAAACAATATTATGCCATATAACAGCAGAAAAAAAAAATAAAACCTGCAATGCTGTTACAAAATGAATTTGAAACACTTGTACCATAACCATATGTAACTTTATAATTGTTTCACATGATGCAAATTATCATGTGATAAAGGTTATTTTGCCCCTTATCAGACACAGCAGATATCAAGGTACTTATGATCCATTTCTTACCATATTCCAGAAATAGAGTGTGAGGATGAGGATAGAGTAAAGTCCCCATAAGGAGAACAGCAACAGGCGACGAGACAGCATCATCCTTGTGATGGCCCATCCTTTGGCTAACAGCAAAAGCAGCATCATGAATAATGACTGAAAAAAATTTTAGGTAATTATTTGATCATATAACCATGTAGGATGTATCATAAGACTTATAAGCAACTCTAATGCAAAGAAATTTAAGTTAATCTTACTTGGAAGTATTCAGAGCAACATGAATACTCATCAACTGTGCAAATCAGACCCATGTTGAAGGATGGAAAGCTACACTTCAACAAAAGTTTCAAAGCCCAGACATCCTTTTCAGCTGTGAAGTTCTCTGCAGCCTCATCTTTCTACTAATGACTGAAGAGGAAGCCAGATGCATGAAATCACATACTGAAATGCTGTTTAAGCTCGATCTTTTAATGAAGATTTGATTTGCAAACTTGGAGTCACTGCAGTTACAATATGTTCCTGACTACTGTACAGTATATGAAACAAAATTGTTTAACAAACCCCATTATAATTTAATTCCATGTATCCTCAAATCATGTTGGGTGAAACAAAGGAAATATAGACTTACACATATTGCACAACACTTCATAACTCTTCAATTTGCTCACTAAGATTTGTCAATAAGATTTCTAACTCCTTTGCTCTTCTTTCTTCACTTGTTTATCCCTCTATTACTTTTACTCCTCTCCCACTTTTGGATGGCATGAATCAGGAGATACAGAAACATCAAGAAAGGGACAAAATGGTGTAAGATAGTGGTTTCATAATAAGTAAAGAAAATGACAGGAAAGTGTTAACACAAGTAAGAAAAACAATCACACACACTACTGTACTGTGGTTGTGTTGGAACTATATATATGTCCACCCACACACACACACACACACACACACACACACACACACACACACACACACACACACACACACTCTTTCTCTCTTCCATACAAAATGAAACAACTGTACAGTACTATATAATTTCTTGCAACATTTCACATGAATTCATTAATGCTGTAGTCCAGTAGAGAAATGGGTATAATATCTCCGTTAGCCGGAATCCCTCAAACCTGGAACTCTCCAATAGCCGGAATTGAAATTTTCTCGGAAAATAGTTCCCAAAGCCAGAATTTTCCGGAAATTTTCGGCTTTGGGAATAATTTTCCGAGGGGCACATTTTCCAGAAAATTCCGGGGATGGGGGAGTTTTTTCCTGGGTTTGAAAGATGAAAATGAGGAGCATTTTCCGGAAATTCTCAGAAAAATTTTCCGGTACGTACCCATAAAATTCCGGGGATGGGGAATATTTTTCCTGGTTCGAGAGGTGATGTAATGAGCAATTTCTGGAATTTCCAAGAAAATTTTTCCATTATTCGGAAAATTCTGGGGATGAGTGATTTTTTTGCAGCTTCAAGAGAGTCGTCTCGTTACCCAGAAATCTCTCATCCTCGGAAGTGCTCTGCACTAGTTGTTCCGGCTAACAGAGATATCACTATTTTTGACATAACCCCTTAAGGTTTGTTAAAGTTTTTTCTCACTCGATTCTTGTCACTGGGAGTGGAAGTGATAATTTTTTGCCGAGTGTGTTGTTCTACCCTTGAGCGTTCCGAGAAATTCAAGATGGCTGCCACAATAGTCGCTGATACACAACAGTCCCTATAACTCAACCATTTGACTTAGGAAGATGGTTTTGGTGTACAGTATATATATAGGTTTTGGGATATGAGGAATCCAATGAAACTAGACATTTTAGAATCAGACCACTCATTATTTGTAAATGGCCACAAAACTGTTATTGTGTCATATAATGGTGTGTATAGTGTATATTAAACTAAGTGACATAAGAATGTCATTACTGCCTAAATTTTACTTATTTTAGACAATAAATTACATTAGTTTTTAGTTCACTTAACTTAACTGCCTGTAAGATATAGATGCTTTTCACCGTTCCTAGAAAACACAAAATGTGCTAATTAATACCTTCTTGATTATTTTCAGACACTGAGTGTGAGTAATGAGAGTAATGCTAAGCATAAATTAAGTCAATATGGAAAAGAAAGAAGCTAAGTGTATTTTTGAATTTTGATTTCCATTATGCAAATTATTGTAGGAAAATCAAGAAACCATGCCAAGCAAAAAACAAAAACTCAATCTAAAGGACATAAAGAAACAAATAAATACAATACTTCACTAGACCTTCGGCACCAACTGTCAAACATGTCACTGTCACTCCCTTCCCCATCTTCCCAGCCAGGGTTTGGTGGTTAGGGGCTTACAGTTTTTATCTTATATAATATCACAGACTAAAGTTAGGAGAATATAATTTGCATTGCTAGACAGCGAATAATTTGAAAAAATACGTCATATATTTTGCACAAGAGATAAAAAATTTAGCCTTTTGTATTAAAAGTAATTAGAACATGTCAGTTCAGTGACATTTTATAAGAGAAAAATTTAAAGTCACTCTTGAGGACAGATAAATAAATAAGCACTAGACCAAACTGTCAAACATATCCCCCCAGCCAGTAAACAGATCATTTTGCATCCCTTAATTTAAGCGGTGTTGATTTTTGAGTGTTTGTTTTAACATAATACTACAAAAAACAATGTTTTGTTTATTCTACGAGATGGGCTGAGGTGCATCTGGGTAGACTCTCAGTCTTTTTAGTACAGTATTTTGTGTCTCTCTCAAGTACCAAACTAAATTATTCCATTGAAACAACACTTCGATTTAGAGCGAATTCGGTTTAAAGCAAACTCTTTTGGAACGTATCTCGTGTTATATCGACGTTCTACTGTGCTACACTGCAAGTGCTCTGTGCAGGTTAGTGTTTGGCTGTGTTGTATTTACCGGTAAATGCTAGGAATGGAAGAAAAAGTTTGGTGCATAGACTGCGGGTTGGTAGAGTGGAAAAAGAAGAACAAGTCTACACTCAAATGGTATGTATATGTGAGGAGGAGGGGCTGCATAAATTGATACATGAAAGTGAGGTGGAGAGTGTATGAGAGAAGAGAGTTAAACAGTGCATTGGTAAGAGGGTGAGAGGAATGAAAGCTGTCGAGAGGATGAAGAAAACAGGCAAGAACAAAATAGCCTGGAGGTGTTTGTCATGGCCACCCAGTCTTGGGGGCTCCCTGCAGGTAACACAATATCGAGCTTGACTTGACTTTATTATGACTTAATTTGATTAATGTTCTGCTCTCATTTCAGGTGATGTGTCTTTAAGTTTCCTCAGCGATAACACCTTGCCACTCTCTGCCTATGACAAGATGCACTTCATTTTGACATCCTATAACATGAGTCATTGTCAGAATTTAGCATAAGCTTAACAGGAAATGTGGAAGACCAAAATGGTGAAGTGTCTCACACAGCCCCCAAACTTTGCTCTCTTCTGCCCACTCCAGAAGATTTCTACAAGAATGAGAAGAGGGCTCACAGTCACTGGCAGTTGGTTATATAGCGCCATGCTCTTGAACCTGACCCCCTCAACCACAAATGGACACTTGTGGCAAGCTCCTCTTCCCTTACCCCCACTGTCATCCATCTCAGGGCACCCATTTTGTACCAGATGAATTAATCAGTCTGACCAAATGCAGTTATACCAGTGCAACAAGACCATGCAAATCAGGAAAATTACTCCTGTGTATCAACTGCTTTGACTTGTATACACTTTTGTGCCCGTAAAGTTGGTCCATTTTGTCATAAAAAATTTACAACTTCAGATTTTCGTGATGATTATATTCATTCGAGATGGGGTAGCATAAAGAGAATTGTAAATAATATCTAAGAATTTTGATTCCATTTGGATCTTATGCTTAGAATGTACACTGTAGTCTTATTTTATTTATTATTTCATTCATATTATTTAATTTTAAATATTGGTGTATGCTATTCACTGAGTTTCTAATGTCCTTTATAAGATAGACAGTTTTGCATATTGACAGTCATACTTATTTGATGTAAGCTACACTAATAAAAAGCTGTCTAATAAGTAAATTACTTGCATCACAGGCTTTTCCATATCCAAGAATCTACATTAAAAATATATATACCTGTATATATTTATCATTTTTTATCTCATGATTCAACTTATATGACATTATATTAAGCACAAGAAGTTTTGATGGTCTTATATAGATAATGAGTGATCTGAATCAATTCTTTCTGGTTTCACTGGATTCCTCATATCCCAAAACCTATATATCAACAACAAAACCATCTTCCTAAGTCAAATGGCTGAGGAGTTATAAGGACTGTTGCATATCATCTTGAATTTCTTGGAATACTCAAGGGTACCAGGAACACACCTGGCAAAAAATAATAAATTTCACCCCCAGTGACAAGAAGAAAGTGAGAAAAAATTTAAGAAACATTAAGGGGCATTCCAAAATTCTGCCAGACTATAAGCATACTTGTATGTTACACAGCTGAGTAATAAGTCACCTTCAAGTTACTGTACATAAATTTCTTGTTTTAACTCAGGCATATTACTACACCTCTATCCACCTACTGTGTGATCTCTCCCTTTCTCTTCCTACCACTTTTAAATGTTCTATCAGTCTTCCTCAACCAACCATTAATCAAATGTTCCACATATTCCAATCTCAATATACTGTACTGTACTTCCATCATAGTATCTTTCTAAGATTTTATCAGCTGTGCATATTTCTAATGTCATTCCCTATCCTTTTAACTCTCTGATTACCCTGAACAAGCAAATAAAACTAACTCATCTCACTGTAAAGGACCACATCAAGACTGCAGGCAGTCCCCTCCCTTTCAATAATCCTTAAATGAGTGAAGGGGTGGAGCTAATACAGTTACACACTTTTTCTAGATGCCCCAAAACTTTTAATTCCACACATCATTGGCACCACTGGCCACCTATACATCTGCTTTCATCTTGATAACTCCCTTAAACATTAAACTCTAATTCTAAAACCACCACAGCTGAAAATGAAATGGTTTTAGTCAGGTTTTACTCTGAGAACAACGCTGTATATATAATATGGTTTTATTTATTACCTGTGCCAATATATTGAAAAGATCCCCAACAATGTTCACACCCTCACTTCCTTCACCATCAAATGAAAAGACAAGGAGGTGCAATGTGTCGAACAAGAGACCCGCCAATTGCATTATAAGTGTAGCCGTAAATAGGCGAGTGATGGGGTGGATCTGAAAATAATAAGTCAAAATGACAACTCTGTTAAAAGTACAGTAAAACTGTAATGAGCATTGCAGACTGAGAAGTAAATCTGGCCATTATTTTAGTATACTGTCAAATTTAATAAGAGACCTTCAGTTTATAGACTGATTAAAAAGTGCAATGTAGAACTTAAGTTATTTTGGAAAATATTTGTCTACAGACAGATAGATGGACAAGTGAACAACACCATGACAATAATACCTATAATTTTGATGATCAGGGTAATAAGAGTGAATTAAGATTTCCACGGCACTTGAATACAGGACAGTGTATATTTTCTTACCTGGCGGCAAGCTGCATACACTTGGAGTGGTACTAAGACGCAACCATAGAACACCACACACACAAGGTAGATCTCAACGGTGTCCTATGAAAGATGATCAGTGACAGCAATGTTCAAATTATCCTAAATAATACATAAAATTATTCACAAATATTTAAAAAAAAAATGGTTTAATATTAATGTAATAACTCCTGATCTTTTGGCGCAAAGTAAAATGATTTTTTTTTAAAAGCTGGTGAAAAATAACTACAGGTACTGAGACAACATATTATACTGTACGTACAGTACATTCATGAAATCCTTAATTCACATTTTACCAGACAGTTTGAGATCCCCATTAAAAAAGTCAATTACTGTACTGTGCAGTACAATTAACCCTTGGTTTTATGGGCACTATATACTGTATAATGGAATCCGGTTATAACGGACACCATAAACCTATAGCACAAACCCTCCTGTCCGTTATCTTGAAGAGTTGTCATAGTTAGTCACTGCATAAACACTAACTGGAAGAATTGTACTGTAATAGTGTGTAAAAGGTGAATATGTACGTACCTGTAAAAATACAGTGCAGCACATGAAGTAAGCAGGAGGTAAGTAACAGATAGTATCAACAAGTGGAGCACAACAGAGGTGATGTTTAGAGTGCGGGCGACATGTTCAAACTGAGAAGCCAACGTGGCCTCTCAGACTTTCCCTTTGGTTAATGGATTGTTTACGTCGTATCAAAGGATTATCTGACATTATTGGACAATAGGTTTCAACGGATTTTCAGCTTTAGCGACCATGGATCTTCCCCAATTAGTCCGTTATCCAAAGGGTTTACTGTGTATCTTTTGCTATGGAAATAACACCAACACAGTTTTATAATACAGTACAGTACTGTTTTTATCAAAAGACACCTCTTTACCACCAGATTAATTTGAATACAGTATATAAATTTTAGAATGACATCCAAGAGTGTTCTGTACTGACCACAGGAATAAAATTTTAAATGACATACAGAAGGATGAACAAACAAAGGGACTAGCTAGCTAACTGATCCCATTTACTTCTATTTTCCCTGCAGGAAATAACAAAACTAATCATAGGTACCTCTGGAAAACTGACCTGTTTATCAAATGAAAAATGATATTCAAAGGGATTATGGTCTGCAGCGTTGGGTTTGCCATTGACAATGTTTAAGTCGTACTCCATCTCCAAGGGCCAGGGTACATGTTGCCATGCACATGAGGAGTTCCTCATACAAGCCACTAAGCTGAGGTACCAGAACCTGTAACACAACTGGTAAATCATTTTCACACCCTAACAAAAACGTACATCACATCTCCCAAGACAGGACACTAAATTTGTGTAGATTCTAGAGAGGAAGAAAATACTGACAGCTGTACAGTTTCATCAAGAGTAAGGTTGGAACTTGAGTGAAGTAAATTTTAATATTCCCACCATGATTTAATGTGAAAAATTTCAAAGTCCAGTATACAGTAGACTATACAAGTACAGTAAAAACATTTCTTGCATAATTAAAGGAGGAATTTCATTTATTTGTACTATAATCATATATCACCCATTCATTCTCAACCCAAATTATCACAAGCATATATATCTCCACTCCCATATCTAAATTCACATCCAATGCATTTAATGAATAACCATTCCCATAGTACAATATATACACACATATACAATACCCAGTAGGTAGTAGGCAGCTACCAAACAGGGAGGTACTACCGCCTGGGAAGATATTGAAAGCATAATGTGTTGTCTAATGGTAGACCCTGCTGCTATATGGCATCACGAAAATTGTGACCAAGTCCCAGGTTGCTGATCTGTCTTTCTGCCTCATTCACACGCAATTGCAGTGTCTCAACTGTCTCTCTTGATCTGTTTTATTCATTCTATTTTATTCTCCTATGTCAGTTGATATTAATACTGAAGCGGGGCCTTCTCGGATGGGACCCACTGGTCGGGAAGCTTGTGGACCCAAGGGCCGACCTGATCATCATCAAGCTACTGGGGCCTCAATTGACGCCACCGCGGTTGCTGGAGGATCGGCTTTTTTCACACTTCATTTTTCCAACATTCGCGGACTGAGATCCAATTTTTCTTCTGTGGAGCACCATCTATCAACCTCTTCCCCCGACCTCTTACTACTCTCCGAACTTCAACTGACCAAAGCAGCTTCACCCAAACCTTTTCAAGTCTCTAACTACAACCTTTATACCTACTTCCGTTCTAAGGGAGGTGTATGCGCCTACTGCAATACACGTACACCTATAGCTCGACTCACGGATCTTGAATCTCCCCTTTATGATGTCATCTGGCTCAAAATATCTCTACCTACTGTGACTATTTTTCTTTGTTTCCTATACTGTTCTACCAACTCTACCAACTATTTCGAACTCTTTGACTATCTCACTTCTTGCCATAAGTTGTTGCTATCCACACACCCCAACACCGAGATCCTCTACCTAGGGGATTTCAATGTACATCACAGAGAGTGGCTTGGCTCTGCAAGGGATGACCCAGGTGGAGCTGAGGCGCACTCTTTTTCCTTACTTAATGATTTGGAACAAATAATCAAACACCCTACACGCGTTCCTGATCGACACGATCAACTTGCTAACATTCTTGATCTTTGTTTTACCTCTAACCCCTCACACTATTCATACTTAATTTTTGCCCCCTTAGGGCCTTCTGATCACAACCTTATTTCTATTAAATCAAACAGGGCACGACCACCTCCCCCACCCCCCTCTACACGTCAACTATGGCACTATCGGAAGGCAAGCTGGCAATCCTTGCGAGAATTCTTCACCGACTTTCCTTGGGATGAATGTTGCTTTTCCACTCGGGATGCCTCAGTATGTGCTGACAGCATTGCTGGGGTTATACAGGGCGGTATGAGTGCATTTATCCCATCTTCTACCAAAACTTTCACATTACAATCATGGTTTGATCGCTTCTGCTCTCATGCTTGCAGGGTGAGAGATAGGGCATATCGAGCTTTGAAACTTTCTCCTTCTCCTATTACCCACACCTCTTTCATTACTTCTAGGAATCGTTGTAAGGCTGTTCTTCGTAGGACCAAGCGGAATTTTATTAAAAGAAAGACTGCTGTCCTGACTAATTCTTCTCTAGTAAATCCTTCTGGTCCTTAACTAAAAGCATCTGTAACAACTTCTGCACGCCTTCTTTTCCTCCCCTCTTCCGTCCCAATAACTCTATAGGCAACTCTCCCCCTGACAAAGCCAACCTCTTTGGCACCTTATTCTCCTCTAATTCCACCTTAGCCGAGTTCCACTCTATCCCTTCTACCCCTGCACCTCCTACTAAACCTATGCACTTTCCTATAATCTCCACTCGCAGGGTTGCCGGTGTGTTATCCAGGTTGGATGTGAGTAAGGTGCATGGACCGGACGGAATACCCCCTCGTGTTCTGAGGGAGTGTGCTGAAACCCTGGCCCCTGTGCTTGCTCGCCTCTTTCGCCTTTGCCTCAAAACCAAAACTTTTCCTTCTTCTTGGAAACATGCCTTGGTTCAGCCCATCCCGAAGAAGGGTGACCATTCTAATCCCTCTAACTATCGCCCCATTGCCCTAACTTCATCCCTCTCTAAGATTTTCGAAACTATCTTGAACTCCCATTTTCTCCGTCACCTTGAACGCCTTTCTCTTTTTTCGGATCACCAGTATGGCTTTCGCCAGGTGAGATCTACTGGTGATCTGCTCTCCTATTGCACCCATCTTTGGTCATCCTCTCTTAGGGATTATGGGGAAACTTTTGTCGTGGCCCTCGACATCTCCAAAGCATTTGACAGGGTATGGTACAAGTCTTTGCTATCTAAACTTCCCTCTTTTGGTTTCTCTCCCCCACTTTGTTCTCTCATCTCTAGCTTCCTTGAGAACCGATCCATGGCAGTTGTTGTCGAGGGATCGATTTCTCGCTCTTTCTCTACCAATAGTGGCGTCCCACAGGGTTCTGTTCTTTCACCGACTCTCTTCCTTCTTTTTATCAATGATTTACTTCACACTACAACTAATTCTATCCATTCTTACGCCGATGATTCTACTCTTCACACTTCCTCACATTTTCCCCTTCCTCCTAACTCTCAAACTAGATCTGTTTCTAGAACTGATATCATTACTTCTATCAACGCGGATCTGTGCAGCATCTCTGAATGGGGAGATACAAACTTGGTTAAGTTCAATAGTAACAAAACTCAATATTTACCAATTACACTTTGTAAATTAGACGATCTCCCACCAATTACATTTCAGGACGCTATCATCCTCCCAAATTCTGAAATAAATATGTTAGGCCTCACCATTTCCTCCAATATGTCCTGGAAATCACACATCCTTAGTATAACTAAAGCTGCCTCCCGAAAGTTGGGAATGCTGTACAGATGCCGCAGCTACTTCACTCCTGAGCAGTTGCTCCAAGTATATAAGGGATTCATTCGTCCTAACTTGGAGTACTGCTCTCATATCTGGGGTGGCTCTTCTTCTGTCCAACTATTAGATAGGGTGGAATCAAAGGCATTTCGTCTTATTAACTCTCCTCCTTTAGTCGACAAGTTCTCTTCCCTTTCTCTTAGCTGCAATGTTGCTTCACTCTCTCTCTTTTACAGGTACTTTAACGGGCAATGTTCAGTGGATTTGGAATCCTGTGTACCGCCGGTAAGGCCGTGGGTTCGTAACACACGTCTTGCCCGTGGTGCCCACCATTTCTCTGTGGATGTCGGTCACACGAGAATAACCCGTTATAGTACCTCCTTCTTTCCTCACACAGCCAAACTGTGGAATGCTCTGCCTTCTTCTGTGTTTCCATGCTCTTACAATGTCTCAATTTAAAAAGCTGGTTTTCCGGCATCTTCGTGGTGTTGATTAATACAGTATAACCTTTTTTCTATGTTTACAATTTCTTTCCGTTCTTCCCCCCTTGTATTACTGTATTGTACTGTACTTGCATCCTATGCCTCATCAGAAATTCCAGTCAAAGCAAAAATTATGACCTCTGAATAATGATCTCAATGCTCTTGACATAACATTGTCTTATAATTTGGGAATGATATAACCTTTCAATATGATATAACTCTACTTACATGTCACCCTTACAATAATCACTCTTGACATGATATTACTCTCCTGACACTTAATTACTGGTACCCTTCTAAGATAATATCACTTCTGAAGATAACAAACTTAGCTATAACAGACTTGTTATAGTAGGTACGGTAGTAGGCAGCTATCTAACTGTGAGGTACGTATTAGAGCCTGGGAAGATATTGGAAGCATGTGCTGTTGGTGGGGGAACCTGGCGAGCACAGCGAGCCCACCCACCTTTTTTAAGGGAGGGGGGGTTCTGTAAGCCACCTGAAATTTTTTGGAAATCTGACCAATGTCATGGGTATTTTGAGGCCACTTTGAAGTTATGTGCACCTGATGTTAATAGATATTCTGATGTCAATAGTAATTACTTTTTACTATACAAAGACAATTGAGTACAATACTGAATTAAAGAAAAGGTATTGGAGTTTTCTGATGAAAAGGGGGGTTCAGATCCCCTGGATCCACTCTGAGACCCTGCTGCCATAAGGCATTACAAAAATTGTGACCAAGTCCCAGGTTGCTGATCTGACTTTCTGCCTCATTTACACACAATTGCAGGATCTCAATTGTTTCTCTTACTTTGACAACACAACATACTGTACATAATTTCACACATGATCTTTTTTTCTTTTTTTTGTACTTAAGTATAGTTCTTTATTATTATTATAGTGTTTTTACTATAACTGTTATTTATTATTACTATATATTTTCGCCCCCAACCCCTGATACAATAAAATAAAAAAAAACTCAGGCCAGAGTTCGACCTGCCAAAGCTGGACGATTTTATTTCCCAGGAAAATCATTGACTTCTTGCCAGGACATGACACAGATGCAAACATCTTTCACAAGCTCCCCATCAGAAGACAGTTTCTCTCTCTTGATTATTGCTTCGACAATTAAAAACTTAACTTGGCTGTTGCGTCACAAGTCTGGTTTCCAGTTTTGAAGAAAGATCTCTGCTCATCACTTTTTGTATTAATGAGTCCACTTTTTTTCGTTTTTCCAATGAGGCTGTCAAATTTTTTTACTGTTTTACAGAAAAAAATGTCTCATGATATTGTAATTCTAGAAAACAGTTATCGTCTCTTGACATATCAGACAATATAGTGTAGTGGATACTCTCCCCTACAACGCCGATTTGTTGCTGACCGGCCGACCCC